CTCAGTCGAAAACACCAACTGGGACGGCGCCCACTACCACCACAGGGCAACAGCCTTTGCAGCAGCAAGCACAGCATGTGGCGGCCCGGCAACACACCTCACTAGGCACACGAAGATTCTACAATTTAATTGTAACGAACTTCAGAGCAAGATCGAGGAGATCGGCACAGAATATTAACAGCTACGGTCCAAGAGACGAAGCTGCATGGTAACTCAACATTGTTGAGTTGCGCCGGATACAACGTGCACCGTCGAGATCGCGATCAGGATAATGGTGGTAGCTTGGCGCTCATCACGCACCGCACCATGCAGTACCGTCTTATCGAAGCAGATATCGATCGCAGGTATACCATCCTAGAATGTCAGGGTATTGCTATCCGGTCAGGCGATGTCGAGCTCGAAATATTTAACGTATATATACCCCCTGTCACCAGTTGCCCGGTAAGGTATCACCCTGAAATAGGTGCGCTTCTCAGAGGTGAAAGCCGTATGGTAGTTGGTGACTTCAATGCGCACCACGATCACAATTGGCTGAGCAGACAGACGATGCGACGTTCTGCATAATGAATGACGACGCAACTACCAGGATTACGAGCAGCTGCTGCGGCTCGTCAGACCTAACAATAGTAGGCGCTGGTCTGATAAACAGCATATCATGGCGATCTATGCTGACTTTAGCATCAGACCGTCTGCCCATAATCATCTGGATTGATAAACCAGCCGACTTTGCTTCCGCGGATCACCGGACCTATGTCAACTTTTCTAGAGCTGACTGGAAAGGCTTCGCGGATGTTAATGAAAGCGCCTTCACTGCACTACCCTCACCAACCGACGTTCACGTAGGTGAGCGTAAATTGCGCAGGGTTGACACTGCTGCTGCAGCTCGCTTCATCCCAGCAGGATGTATTAAGGATCCACGTCCGAACTTTCCTGCTGAAGCGGCTGTTCTAGCCGATGAGCGTAACAACCTTCGTCAAGCCGATCCCGGAAATCCCCGGGCACGAAATGCCAAAACCCACTGCGCCTCTTGTTTTCGCCAGTGGTGAGGTAAGGGTAGCCATCGGGAAAGCGAAAGGCTCCAAAGCCATTGGACCCGCCGGAATATGCATGTTGATGCTGAAAAATTTGGGTCCTGCGGAAGTAGTGTACCTAACGGAGGTCCTCAACTTGTCTATGGCCACTCTCGTCATTCCAGACATCTGGGAGATGGGGAGAGTGGTCCCACTGCTCAAAGCGGGGAAACCAGCCAACAAAGGAGAGTCTTAACGCCCGATAACCCTCCTTTCTCCGGTAGCGAAGACACTAGAGGCCCTTCTATTCCCGCACTATACAAACCACCTGACCACAGCGAGGCATCTGCATGCGTTCCGTAAAGTGTACAGCAAAACAACAGCACTTAACGCCATAAATACCCAGATAACTCGTGACTTTAACCGAAACCGCCCCTGTAGAAAACCATTCTAGTAGCGCTGGACCTGTCTAAGGCGTTCGACACTGTCAGCCATTCAACGCTACTAGAAGATATAGAGGCCTCCTCTCTCCCACAGGGCCTAAAACGGTGGACGGCGAATCTGAGTGGTCGTCACTCGTCCGTAACTTTTAGAGACAAATCGAGCAAACCTATGAATATAAAACAGGGGGTTCCACAGGGCGGTGTCCTTTTCCCATTACTGTTTAACTTTTACATTTCAAAGCTCCCTCAACCACCAGAGGGAGTCTCGATTGTCTCTTACGCTGACGATTGTTCGATCATGGCGTCTGGGAATGGAATTGATGACTTGTGCTCGAAAGTAAACAGTTATCTCACCGAGCTTTCTCGCTTGTTCGCTGCACGGAGCCTTGCTCTATCCCCTGCGAAATCTTCAGCCACACTGTTTACCACGAAGGAGGTCAGACTATAACTGGGAATTCAGGTCGATGACGAACCAATTCCGACGGTAAACAACCCGAAGATCTTCGGAGTAACCTTCGACCGTCTGCTCTCCTTCTCGGCGCATACAACCGCAATTGTCAAACAGAGTACAAAGCCGCAACAAGGTCTCCTCAAGTCGCTAGCCGGCAGTACCTGGGGCAAAGACAAAGAAACGTTGCTGACAACGTACAAGGCAATTGGCCGGCCGGATCTGAACTATGCAGCGCCAGTGTGGTCACCGGGGACTAGTAGGACGCAGTGGATGAAGCTGCACACTGGCCAGAGGTTCATCAACCAACCTCTGAACCCGACTGCTTATCCGACAGGCCTTGAACGGCATTTACAGAGAGGCAGTCTCGAGTTATGTAGACTCCCGACCTGTGAATGCCGTTCTGGGCACACAACCACCAGACGTCGATGAGACAGAACTTCGGCTGCGTCGGGAGACTCGGACCACAATAGCCCAACAGCGCTCTGGTTACTGCTGCAGGTTGAACTCATACCTGAGCATATTAAACGAAAATATTCTTAACGAATGCTCGGCATGCGGAGAGCCGCCCCATAACTCATAGCATCTAGTCGTATGCCCTCTGAATGCCACCTCACTAACGCCCCTGTCCCTATGGACAGACCCCGTCGAGGCTGCACGCTTCCTGGGGCTGCGGCTAGTAGAGCTTGACGACAACGATTGAGGGACTAACCGATCTGTGCGGGGTTGTTGTAGCCGCTACAACAACAACAACTACAACAACAACTACAACAACAACTACAACAACAACAACTACAACAACAACTAATACACCAACAACAACAACAACAACAACAACATAACCTTGTTGCAAGAATTATAGCATTCTCTCCAAAAAGGACACTTAAGTTCTCGACATCGTACAAAAGGTTAGATATCTAATCCTATTCTAACGTTGAATTCTAATTGGTTTCTAATGTCTAGTGTTTTTCTAATCATTCTCTAATCGCATTCTAACATAGTTGTACGACCTTCGAGAAACATTAGAGAACCACAGTATAATTATAATGTAAAACCAAGTGTTTCGGTGTGTTCAGAAATGCATCAGGCCAACGCATCAGACGTATGTAGTTATTTCTAAACTGTAATTGATGGAAATATGCAATATGCGCAACCACGGATAAATGCCTAATTGGAACTTAGGTGCGTAAATAAGGCATTTGCATTAGAGGTTTACGCCGACTAGCTTTGCGGCGGCGGCGTGGTTAACTTCAAAAAGAATCGGCGGCGGCGGCGACGCCGGCGCGTCAGGAAATGCAGGCGCTCCTGCCCATAAGGTAGAATCCAAAGAGCCATGAGGCTACTAATCTTATCATGTCATCTCGTCAGCGTTAGGCATTCGCATTGCCAATTCAGATTGTAATTGTATTTAATTCATTTATTGAATTAGTTTTAAATTTAAATAACGTTACTTTCTACTTGAATTAAAATGTTGAGTGTCTGCCGCTGATGGATGGGTGAACAGAAGGAAGTCTGAAGTATATACATACATCTCTATGTTCTCTACAAATCCGTATGTACTATTTATATTTAAAGAAATAAAAAAAAAAATTAAAATTTAATTTATTGGGGTAATTTATGTCGCTATCAATAAATTTTTGCAATAATCTTATCAACTGTTATGTTAAACTACGGAGTTGTTACGATTTTTTGTGGGTTTTATATTGAAAACAGGGTTTGGTCTACATTTTTCCAAAATTTTAAACCATCAACTCCCACCAGAACGGGCGCTTTATAAATGGTTAAAATTTCCACTAAAATATTAAGCGCCAAATTTTTCTTAGGAGAACCGAATGTAAAGAAAAATAATAGTAATTTTACCAAAACGGGGGACTTTAACCTTGTGTAGAAGGCCGTCGCCGCGGCGATATTTTCGTAACTCGGCGGCGGCGTGTGAAAAATGACAAAAAACGGCGGCGGCGTGGCTCGGCGGCGTATACATCTAATTTGCATCAGTTATAATTTATAAGTAATAAAATTATAGTTTAAAAAACTAAAACCTCGCTATTAAAATTTCCATTCGTACTGTCATCAGGTATGTAATTTGGTAATAGAAATCGCTGCATCTTTTAGGCGCATCAATATTACATAGTTACATCCCGAGCTAATAAGAGGAAGGTAAGAAGGTAAAAAGAGACTGATTCTTTGGCTTGATGCATTTCTGAACACATGGTGAGTTTGTTGATTTATTGCTTATTTGTAACTAAAAGGCAAATAAACAGTTTTGTTAATAAATATTATAATTTATTCGCATAAATTTATGGAAATTTTTCATTGAATGCACATCAATCAATGTTACTAATTTGTTACTAAGAAAAACAAAATATTTTATTACACATACATACATATTATGTACATATCTGACTTGAATCGCAATCTGATAAACACAAAAGTAAAACACTGTAAGCATAAAATTGTCTGCATGTATTTTTAAGTATGAAGCTTCAGTAGAAAATTGATGCAATTGTGCTAAAACGCACTGACCTTTCCTACAAACATACCGCATGTTGTTTCAACAGCAAAAACATACCAAAGGGTTTTGAGGAATGCATTTCATAACCCAAAGCCGTGAAGACCGTTACGAAAAGTGTGTTATCCAAAATGTTCATCGATTCCAATCATATTTCGGTAAAAAAAAATATCTTAAGACAGCCTCTTTAACACATTAATACAAGCATCAGTGTACTTTATTTCTAAACCAAGAGACAACTTTGCCCCGAACTTTAACAAAAAAATAATCAGGCAGGTTCTGCAATTCACTTCCGAGCGAATTTCAACCTCTACCAATTTGAAGTCAAAGCGAATTTAAGGAAGTGAAATGCAGAAGCCGCCCGAATAGTTTTTTCATATTGCATATATATTTAAGACATTCGGGCGGTTTCTACAATTCACATCCGAGTCAATTTTTTAAACTAAAGCCACTTCGAGTTCAAATTGAACGGGGTTGAAATTCACTCGGAAGTGAAAGTACAGAACTTGCCTTATTAAGAATCAATATACCAATGCTTTGCATTAATGCGTTTTTAAGACATCCGTACTTGAAATTAAAAAAATACGTAATTTATACATTTAGATTGAAGAAAGCTAATTCGATTTTTATAACATAAATCTCCATTTATTCTATATCAGTCTTCTGGTATAATCGTCTATAGTATCCAAGTTCCAATTACTTTCCGAGTTTTAATGTTAATGCCGGCCGCTAGTAATTTTACAACTGGAAGTGATACTTAATGACAATTTTCTAATGTTCCACCGACATGCATATGTTCCAAAATTTTAGATAAATTTGACATTTGTATGCTTAACAATGTTTTGCCTTTGAGTTTAAATGTATCTTATAACTAAGCTTTAATTACAACAATTTACAAATGTTACTAGCTCTAGCTAATGCTGATCTCTCGCAATCAAATTAACGGGGAGAAGTAACAATAAACGTTGTACATTAATTCAAATTAACCTAAATAGTTTTTCTGGACAATGGAAATACCAGTACTTCATTAGTACATTTACTTGCGCAATTAATTCATCCCTCTCATTACTTCCCCCTTCATACCCGCCCAACTTAACTTATAACTACGGCGCCCAGTTAACTTAGTTTGGTAACACATCTGTCAACAGATCTTTTGTTACAGCCGGCAAACTGTCGGGGAATTTTATATCAAACGCCACCAGCAGGTCACCTCGTCTCGTCGGCTCCTTAGGGAAAGGCAACCCTCTGCCTGAGATACGTTTAACTGTGTTAGGCTTAATGATTTCTCCCTGTGAATTGACCGTAATTCTATCGCCTTGTAACGTCGGCACCTGTACAACAGTGCCACACAGGGCTTGTTTTAAACTGATATTAGCATTGTATTTGATATCGCTGCCTTCACGTTTGAATAATGGGTGCGGCTTGTCCCGTATGATGAAAATTATATCTGCCGGAACTTTTCCAGGTGTTTGATCACCTTCCTTTTGGAAGGTAATCTTTGTACCCGCCTTCCAGCCGGGTTTCACAGCGATATTCAAGACTTTTTCTTCCTTGCGCGGCTGCCCTGTGGTCATCGACATGCGTGAGATCTTCATCTTTTTTACACAGCCTTTATCGACTTCCTCCAGAGAGACGTAGAGATCGTGTTCGATAGGTGGATCTTGAATCTGCCTTTTGCGGTTGGGTTGTGCGTTGAAAGATTGCGACCGGAAAGCACCGCCGCCGCCGCTCATTTGTGAGTAGATATCATCGTCATTGCCAGCAGTCATGAATATATTCTGCGAATCACCAAACATTCGGCTGGGATCGCTTGAACTGAAGAAAATGCCAAAGGGATCTGACGAACCAAAGAACTGTGCAAATGTGGCGCGCGGATCGCCATGGAACTGGTATGAATTGAAACCACCACCCTGCTCACCGGGACCACCAGGTACACCACCCTTCAGGCCTTCTTCACCATGTTGATCGTAAATGTCCCGCTTCTTCTTGTCCGACAGCACTTCATACGCTTCGGCAATTTCCTTAAATCGCTCCTCGGCCTGCGGTGTTTTGTTCTTATCTGGATGGTACTTCAACGCCAATTTACGATAGGCCTTCTTAATTTCATCGTCATTGGCACTTTTGTTGATACCGAGGATTTTATAGAAATCTTTGCCCATATCGCTAGATACTTATTCTCTTGTAGAGCTGAAATGAAATCTTTAAACAAAACCACAAGTACAATTTCAGTACAATTTCAGTAAAATTTAGTGCATAAAAGTACATAAAAAAATTAGATAAATAGAACATGACAAAAAGGTGCTTATGGGACATATTCCCTAAAATTTAAGCGCTTTCAATTGCCATAAAATACACATTATTTATATGTACACATTAATATGCATGACTTTTTGTTTATAAAACAAAACAATTAAGAATTCGAGCGACCTAATTACAAAATAGTACTTTCCCCATGGCTGGGCGCTTTTCTAGTGTAGTGTAGAAATAAGACATAGATGCTTTTTTGTATTACTGTTTAGGAATACGTCTCACAAGTACTTATATTTATGTATGCACATACGAAAGATCGTGAACATTTTTCACTATAGATTTGCAGCGTAGCACAGATCTTTCTAGAATTTTTTTATCAACACCCGACAAAACAGACGTTTGGTGACGTTTGCATGAATGAAAAATTTCGCAACTGCTGGTATTTTCTATACAACCCGTCCTGCTCTAACTTATGCTGTAGCACTAAAAACCTTGCGAGACGCGTTGGCGGGGGACTTCCAAACTTGTCAAGTGATTTCATCGATAATTCAAGAAAAAAAATATCGCAACAGACAAACATATGCGTTATTTAAACCATTAGAACTTTTTTAAACATAAACTCGTTAATTTAACAAGTTGTGTAACTATCTTGTCCCGTAAAGCACAGCATGTAGGTATATATGTACATAATATGTATACTACATATATTCACTTTAGGTATTTACCTTTCCACTAATTTCCTCAAATTTTTTGTTTGTTTTTATTCACTATAAATTTTCTTGCAATTCCGGGTAGTTATAATCAAATAACAGAATGTTTAAATTTTTGTACTTTCTTGTATAACTTTTCTATTGAAAGTCACTTCAAACTTCTTTTGCTTTTCTGGCAAAAATATGTTTCGTTTTCAACTGTTCTTTTACGAATGTGTTCGCTCGGCAGACGAGACCCCTATTTATAGAAAGAATGTTTCATGTATTCTAGAAAGTTCCAGATCAAATTGACGTTTCTCACACATTCCGTCTCGTTGCTACGTCATTCCCGGAACGAGTTCGCTAGAGAGGACGAACGAAGTGTTGCCAGCTGTTAACTTTCTGTAACCGGCCGTCTTCACGTGCTGGAAGATCTCGCTTGCGTGATGACGCATGCGATAAACCGCACGTGTAGACCGCAAAGAGTACGAAGCATGCTTTTTCTCGCATACCGAGCGGTATGCTAGCTCTCGCTTGCTTTCAACTGTCATTTTTGTTGTTTGACAGCTATGCTCTCATTTCGCAGAATTCTTCAGAGTAGCAACATCGTTTATTTTGGAGGCAAATACAAATTCAGAGGCAGACATTTTTCATTTCAAAATAATATACATCTCTTTATGCAGATTTTCTAATTTTATCAAACTGGTAAAATAAGTTTCTAAGTTTTGTTTTGTTGTTGAAGTAGTAAACGCAATAGCACCTAGGTTAAGTCCCCACTCCGAGTGATTCCAAACATTTTTTTTTTATTTTATATTTTTTTTAACATAAACATCATTTTATTTTATTAAATTTTGATTTATTTTCTTTTTTTTTGTTACGGTATTTCATATAATTATTTCGTAATTAATTAAATTTTTTGGAGTTAATTTCAATTAAAAAGTCCACAACAACTATTATTAAATAACAAAAATTTAAATAATATTTAAAAGAACAAAAAAAGATGTAAAAAAATGTTCCCTGGCAGTGTGATTCGAACCCCCGACTTCCCGGCTTGCTAAATCCGCAATCCTGCAGCGGACACAGGGTGAACTAATTAAAGTACTCATATTTATATATATTTCCGGGTAAATTTTTTCTCTTTATATGGATAGCACTGTTCTCTCTCATTTTAAGGCCTGTATGCTGCTCTCAAGAAAAGCAAAAACTGCATATAAAATGACGTACAAGAAATGGCTAAGAAATTTTCTTGAGTCAAATTTCTTTAAAGGCCTGTATGCAGCTCTCAAGAAAAGCAAAAACTCCATATAAAATGACGTACAAGAAATGGCTAAGAAATTTTCTTGAGTCAAATTTCCTTAAGGCAGTACGCAGTTCTTAAGAAATTTACTACGCTTTCTACTACGGTTTTCTAAAGTTTTTGGTGAAAAAAGAGCACAAGGCAACCCAGGTTTGCAACAGAAATATATGCCCGTTCCATTATTTCTTGAGGAAAGAGTGAGGCTGTGAAGTATCAAAAATGTCAAAATTCCTTGGACACACACACGAAATAATGGCAAATTTTTCTTGACCGTTTTCTTGAGAGCTGCATACAGGCTTTAAGGCAGTACGCAGTTCTTAAAGAATTTGCTACGCTTTCTACTACGGTTTTCTAAAGTTTTTCTGTGAAAAAAGAGCACAAGGCAAGTCAGGTTTCCAACAGAAATATATGCCCATTCCATTATTTCTTGAGGAAAGAGTGAGGCAACAGGCTGTGAAGTATCAAAAATGTCAAAATTCCTTGGACACACACACGAAATAACGGCAAATTTTTCATGACCGTTTGCTTGAGAGCTGCATACAGGCCTTTAACAAAAAGCTGTTTCTAATTGCCCATCTCCACAGGATAAAGTTTATATCTTGATACATATGTTAGAATATAAATAGAATGGAGACCGCGCATTGCTCTTCAAGAGCAATATATATCAGAGCTTATATCTTGCCATCTATTGCCTGCAATTTGGTAGTTTGACAGCTACATGTTCATTTGCATGAAAACTTCGTGGCGGCAACATTATTGATATTTTAATATAAAAGCAAATATTGATCTGTTTTCTGTGAAAATATTTGTTATTTTGTAACTGGATGTAAAATAGCCTATTTTAAAAATTTTTTAAGTGATTAAATCCGCCAAAAATACGTTTTAGGGTCTATCTTACAAATGCTTATATCAAGATATAAAAAGCCACACAAATATTGCCACTGATATAACTTATATCTAGCGACCAAAATGACAGCTGGACAGCAATAAATTTTATCCTATGGAGACGGCCAGTTAGATGTCTATGATTGACACAACTTAAAAATCTATTCTATATTTAAAACTGTATTTTAACAAGAATGAGTTTTAACTTGCGACTATGACTATGGGCCATTGTCTTTACAATTGTCTGGACGCCTACTTTACAAGAATAAGGGCCGGTTACTCAATGTCTGGTTAACACTAATCTGCGGTTAAACATCGTTATCGACGACTTCGCCTCCATGCATATAACAGGGAGTCGGTAATGTCGATAACTTTGTTTAACCGGAGATTAGTGTTAACCAGACATTGAGTAACCGGCCCTAACTATGGTTGTCCACACTTCGGTTTGAGGTTTATAAAACAGTACAAATGTAGAGAACAGTGTTCGGATGACCAACTCGATTCAGGACTAAATCGCTGCAAAAATCGGAGCAAAAACAAATTTTCCGTACTAGATTGTTTTTTTATTTTTTATTTTCGTTTATGACATTAATTGCTTGACTTAAATATTTTCTATTCATGCAAAAATAAGAACGCGAGGTAATTTTTAGCATTTTCTATAAAGTAGAACATATTTAACACTAAATTTTTTAAAGAGCAATAGGATCTAAACCTCTTCTACTTTATATAAATTCCATTCTATATATATTTTTTAACAACTTAAGTAAAGTTCTGCATCCGCCAATTTCTACAGCCATACATCAATAAGTAACGAAGTTACTTTATTGACGCATTGCTATGAAAAAATTACTTTTTAACAGTGAGATTTGGCTAACTTTAAATTTTTTTACTGAAACCAGTGGTGAACACTCAAAACACGGCCCCAAAAAGGCATAACACGAATGAAAAAAAAATGAATAGATTTGAAGTCGAGCGCAGTAGAGGAGTAGATTTCAAACATTTTCAAAAACTTAATAAAATCCAAACACTAGTAGGGAACGCATTTTTTTACATTTTAACGGTAATGACCCACAGATGGCGGAAAAATACAGGGTTGTATCAGACTTTCGACGTGGTTTCGAGTTGGTTAGCTTTTAACCATCTCAGTGAAATAGTTAAGCGCTGTCATTTTTATATGGCGAAACTACGCTAAATCAAGTGGGTTATCGGGATAACCAACTCATTGGCCATAACTACGTGGTTAGCTCCGGTGGGGACATGGTATTAGGGTTTACACCGGACAATATTGTCAAGACGATTATGCCAAAATGATATGTTTGTTGCAATTGGGGTGTTCACAGTTCGTTCCAAATTGTGTCTGAAAATGTAGACGTCTACATTTTGAGACATCTTTAGCATCAAACTGTGAGCACCCCTTTCTAGCAGTCGTCGCAAAATCGTCTCAAAACTTTGCTGGTGTTGCCAGACATTTCTTCTTTGCGTGCTTTTTTATATGTCGCCTTTCGATTTTGTTTCTGAAAAATTGTAATTATTTAACTTAGTTACCAATTCCTAATATTTGTTATTTCTTTTCCTTGATTTGTTTCCTTTCATCAGAAATTGCGCTTAAATTAAATGCAAATACAGAAAACGTGCCCAATAAATAAAAAAAATGCGATTAGTATTGCCATAATGCAACCCTGCTGCGAGGTTGCAAGATGTAGACGCGTAAAAAACATACCTTTGAGTGTGACAAAATGTAGACGGCGTCGTTTTCCAATTTTGTATGGGAAACAACAACACCACAGATTTTACGGTTAGAAAACGTCTTAAAATGTAGACGTCTACATTTTGAGACACTATTTGGAACGAACTGTGAACACCCCAACTATTTGGAACGAACTGTGAACACCCCAAATATGAATTTTCCATGTTTACAACAAACACATTATTTTGACATAATTGTCTTGACAATATTGTCCGGTGTAAACGCGCCGTATTACATATTCTAAATTGTCTTGTCTCAAATTGTCTTACGCTGCGTTTATATAAGACAATTTTATACGATTTTGTCTTGCCTCTTTTTCTTAAATTAACCAAGACGTGACCGAATTCTCCAATTTACTGTTCAATTCAGTGTCTTCGAAAAACCAAAGACGAAGTGACGAAGACAATTGGCTTTGTGTCAGCGTATTAGTGAAAAAGTGTGAATGTATTGCTATTTCTTGGTAAAAGTGTCTCATGTAAAAGCCGAGTTATGTAAACGCAGCGCAAATGTAACAGTGGCTACACACGACGAACATGTGCGCGCACATGCGCGGCATACGATGCATGTTTGTCGTTTGTAGGGCGGTTCACAAGCATGCTCGCAAAAAATAAAAAAATAAATGTGTACAAACATGTATACAAATAATATTGCTTGGCAGTAATAAAGAGTGAACATGAAAATGAAAGCTGAAAAGGCACAAAAAAAGCGTACGTCAGTTGCAAGTTATAAAATAAATATAGATTTTAACAATTTCAGCAACACACAAAAATAGAGCTTTCGCACGTTTGTTTGCGTTTGTTTGGTTTTTCAACTGTCAAAATTTTACTTTGCATTTGGCACAGCGAAATTCAATTTATTTGTACACCATAGAAATTTTTCCACCCCGTCTCACCACGGAGAAAAAAGTTACCGATTGGCACAGGCCCTCAATATCAAAATTTCATCGATGTTACCACCAGCACGCTTTCTTTCAAATGAGAATATGGCTGTCAAACTATCGAATTGCCTGCAATAGATGTCAAGCAATAAGCGCTTATTTTCATTTGAAAGAAAGCGTGCTGGTGATAACATCGCTGAAATTTTGATAATAAAACCAAATCAAAATCTGTTCTCTATTGGATAATTTATGATTACGTTTTAGGAAATTGTTCAGAAAGTTTTTCAAAGATTTAAATGTTTTTTTTTTTTTTAACACCGAAATTGGTCGGCCGCTGTGGGGTAGTGGTAAGCAGTGCGCGCTTCCACTCCACAACACCTGGGTTCAGGCCCTGGTCAAAGCAATATAGCAAAAAAAATATAGAAAAAAGCTTT